GCAGAGGACCGCATCAGTGAGCTAGAAGACAAGATGGAAAAAAATACCCAATTAGAGCAGCTTCTAGAAAAAAAAATTAAAAAGCAGGAGGAGAGCCTAAGGGAGCTTTGGGACAATACAAAAAAACAATATTCGCATAATAGGGGTTCCAGAAGGAAAGCAAACTGAGAAAGACATGGATACCCTGTCTCAAGAAATAATGACAGAAAACTTTCCTAAGTTAGAGAAAAAAAAAACCCACACAAATCCAAGAAGCTCACAGAGTCCAAAGCAAAATAAAGCCCAACGGACATTATAATTAAATTGGCAAACACCAATGACAAAGTAAGAATCTTAAAAGCAGCCAGAGAGAGACAGAAAGTTACATACAAAGGAACCCCAATCAAACTAGCAACTGATTTCTTAACAGAAACTCATCAGGCCAGAAGGGAATGGAATGAAATATACCAAGTCATACAAAGGAAGGATCTGAATCCAAAAATACTGTACCCAGCAAGGCTATCAATCAAAATTGAAGGTGAAATCAGGAGCTTCACAGACAAAAAAAGACTAAAGGAATTTATCTCCACCAAACCAGCAATGCAAGAAATGCTAAAGGGTCTGCTGTAAAAATAAAGAAATAGGAAGCAAAGAAGGAACACAGGGGTAGAGAATAAAAATGGTGACAAATAAGTACCTATCAATAATAACTTTAAATGTAAATGGATTAAATGCCCCAATCAAAAGACATAGGGTAACGGATTGGATAAAAAAACAAGACCCATATATCTGCTGTCTATAAGAAACCCACTTCAGAAAAAAAGATGCATACAAACTGAGGGTGAAGGGATGGAAAAAGGGTTTCCAGGCGAATGGAAATGAAAAAAAAGCTGGGGTAGCAATACTTATATCTGACAAATTAGATCTCAAAATGAAGGACATAACAAGAGATAATGAAGGCCACTTCATAATACTAAAGGGAGCAATCCAACAAGAAGAAATAACCCTGGTAAATATATATATACACTCAATACAGGAGCACCCAAATACATTAAAAAAAAAAAAAACTAAAATACAAAGGATTGTTACAAAATACTACGAACAACTCTATTCCAACAAACTGGACAATCTGGAGGAAATGTTCCTAGAAAATATAACCTTCCAAAACTCAATCAGGAAGAACCTAAAAATCTCAATAGAGCAGTGACTTTGGAAGAAATTGAAACAGTCATCAAAAAGTTTCCAGCAAACAAAAGCCCGGGGCCAGATGGCTTCACAGGAGATTTTACCAAACATTCAAGGAAGAACTAAAACCTATCCTCCTCAGACTATTCCAAAAAATTCAAGAGGAAGGAACACTTCCAAACTCCTTCTATGAAGCCAACATCACCCTAATACCAAAACCAGATAAAGACAACACAATGAAAGAGAATTTCAGGCCAATATCCCTCATGAACATAGATGCCAAAATTCCCAACAAAATTCTAGCAAATCGGAGAATCCAAGATGGCTGCACAGGTAAACACCTAACCGCAGCCGCACACAACAATTTCAATAAAATGGACATTGCCCAGAGCTACAGGAAAGTCGACTGACTGGAAATTCTACAAGAAGGAAAGAGAAAACCAGAAGGAAAATCCGAGGAGCTGTAAAAGCCTAAGGTACGGAGACACGCTTCGTGCATGGAGAAGACGAAGCCGGAGAGGAGGGGGCGGCTGAGTGTCTGGCTGATGTTCCCTAGCGGGAAGGAGATAAAAGCTCCGGATTGTGCCGAACCCCAGACCCAATAGCGCTGAACCCCAGTTCTAGGCCAGACCCTGGGGACCCAGGCTCAAACAGAGGGAGCCTGGGCTATGAGGTGGAATAGCAGGGGAGGGGCGAAAGGCAGAGCCCCCGGAGGCACACACATTGCGCGCAGAGGGCGGACTGTTGACTCTGCTGCCAGATTGCCCTAGCGGGAAGGAGACAAAAGCTCCGGACTGAGCTGAACCCCAGTTCTAGACCAGACCCTGGGGACCCAGGCTCATACAGAGGGAGACTGGGCTGTAAGGCGGAAACCCGGGGGGAGCCGCGAAAGGCAGAGACCCCAGAGGCATGCACATTGTGTGTAGAGAAGGGACAGTTGGCTGCACCGCGGGATTGCCCTGGCAGGAAGGAGACTCCAAACTGCTCTGAACCTCACTTCCAAACCCACTTCCAACTGAACTAAACCCCAGTTCCGGGCTCATTGGGAGAGAGACTAGACTGTTTGGTAGCAGGCAAAACTCGAGGGCACTTCACTCTCAGAGGTGCTTGCAGCGAGTACCTAAGAACCCTGAGAAACACTGAGACTTAGGAGCCGCATAGGGCATGCCTGACGTGGCTGAAGGAAGTCAAGGCCGTAGGCTCCACCATGAAACTCCGTCCCATCCAAGCAGTACACAGAGACTTTTAAGGCTACCAACGCAGGGAAGCTGCGAAAATGCCGAGACAAGGAAATACATCACAATCGAAAGAAATGGAGGACAAAAAGCGATTGGATATAGAGTTCAAAACCACGCTTATAAGGTTTTTCAAGAATTTCCTAGAAAAGATTGATAAGACCTCATGAAAAGGGATCAACTAGAAATAATAAGGAATCAACAAGAAATAATAAGGGATCAACAAGAAATAAATACATTGTCTGAAATAAAATATATTATACATTCCCTCTAAGAACAGGAACAAAACAGGGATGCCCACTCTTACCACTCCTGTTTGACATAGTACTGGAAGTACTAGCCATTGCAATTAGACAGGAAGAAGAAATAAAAGGCACCCAAATTGGAAAAGAAGAAGTAAAATTGTCCTTATTTTCAGATGATATATTGTACATAAAAAAACAAAACAAAGACTCCATAAAAAAACTAATAGATTTAATAAATGAATTTGGCAATGTAGCAGGATACAAAATTAACGCCAAGAAATCTATGGCATTTCTATACACCAATAGTGAACTTACAGAAACAGAGACTAAAAAAGCAATCCCATTTACCATCACACCAAAAAAATTAACTTAAGGAAGTAAAAGATCTATATGCAGAAAACTACACGACACTGAAAAAAGAGAGGAAAATGTAAACAAATGGAAGAACATACCATGTTCATGGCTTGGTAGAATCAACATCATCAAAATGTCCATACTTCCCAAAGCAATTTATAGGTTTAATGCACTCCCCATTAAAATACCAACAGCATATTTCACAGACCTAGAAAGAACTCTCCAAAAATTCATCTGAAACAAAAAAAGACCCCACATAGCCACAGCAATCCTGAGAAAGAAGAGTAAAGCAGGAGGGGATCTCAATACCAGATTTCAAGCTGTATTACAAAGCCACTGTTCTCAAAACAGCCTGGTACTGGCACAAGAATAGACATACAGATCAGTGGAATAGAATAGAGAATCCAGATATTAACCCAAATCACTATGCTCAATTAATGTTTGACAACGGAGGCATGAACAAACAATGGAGTGAAGACAGTCTCTTCAATAAATGGTGTTGGGGAAATTGGACAGATACATGCAAAAGAATAAAACTAGATCACCAACTTACATCATACACAAAAATAAACTCAAAATGGATACAGGACTTAAATATAAGACAGGAAACCATAAAAACCCTAGAGGCATCCTCACGCAGCAAAATCTCAGACATATGCCAAAAGAACTTCTTCACTGATACTGCCCCTAGGGCAATGGAAGCTAAAGAGAAAATAAACAAATGGGACTACATCAAAATAAAAGGCTTTTTTATAGCAAAATAAACCATCAACAAAACAACAAGAAAGCCCACTGTATGGGAGAACATATTTGCAAATGTTATCACTGATAAAGGTTTAATCTCCAACATCTACAGACAGCTTATACAATTTAATAAAAGGAAGATAAATGATCCAATTAAAAAATGGGCAATAGACCTAAATGGAATCTTTTCAAAAGAAGACAAAGGGAAGGCCAAGAGGCACATGAAAACATGCTCAAAGCCACTAATTATCCAAGAGATGCAAATCAAAACAACAATGCGGTACCATCTCACACCTGTCAGAATGGCTATCATCAACAAATCAGCAAAGGACAAGTGCTGGTGGAGAGGCAGAGAAAAAGGAACCCTTGTGCACTGCTGGTAGGAATGCAGACTGATGCAATCACTGTGGAGAACAGTATGGAGTTTCCTCAAAAAACTGAAAATGGAACTCCCATTTGACCCAATAATCCCACTCCTAAGAATATATCCTAAGAAACTAGAAATACCAATCAAAAAGGAAATATGCACCCCTATGTTCATAGCAGCACAATCTACAATAGCTAGGATTTGGAAACAGCCCAGGTGCCTGTCAGCAGATGATTGGATCAAAAAACTATGGGACACCTACACAATAGAATACTATGTTGCCATAAAAAAGAAGGAATTCTTATCATTTACAGCGCCCTGGATGGAATCGGAGAACATTATGCTGAGTGAAATATGTCAGTTAATGAAAGAAAAACACCCCATGATCTCACTCATTTATGAATAATAAGGAACATTATAAACTGATGAACAAAAAGATAGATACAGAAACAGTAAAGAAACAAACAGACTGTCAAATTACAGCGGGGAGGTAGGGAGATAAGAGATCAACCGAAGGAGTTGTATACATGCATATAAGCATAACCAATGGACAAAAACTCTGGGGAGGGAGGGTATAAATGCTGATATAACATTAGTCTCACACAGGTGCCTGAAGTCATAGTAGTCATAGTAGTACAACTATGTATTTATCTCTCAGGGATTTGGGAACCAAAGGGATGATAAAACCATGACATTCTCCATATACATCCCTCTGCCCATTTCTTTAGAGTTTCTCAGCTTCAGTCTTCAGTGGTATTCTTCTCTACCATTTGCCTTGAGTGATATCCTCTACATTTAGGGTTTAACAATCCTTCTATTAATATATGCTAAAGAAGGCTTTTTTCTTTAATATGTATTTTAAGTTTTAAGGAAGATTACTCCAGTACTTACCAACCCATAGGTCCCATTGTTTCTGCTCTTGTTTTTCCACGTTTTGCCTCTTTAAGCAGTTCTTCTATTGCTTTCCTGGTAGGAAAAAGGAAGAAATTTGAGAGATAGTCACCCCACTAAATTCTAAAAATCAAGTTATTCTATGTATGTGATCATTGGAAAGGAACAGCTCTGAAATAAATTTTCAAAATTGGGGGAGAAATTTTTTAATAAATGGTTGATAATTTTGAATACAAAAATTAAAAAAAAACCTTTTTATAAAATGCAGAATAATACTAAAAACTAAAGATAAAATGACAAGCTTTATCCATATTAAAAATTTTCAAATGCATTATTATTCTAAGAAATACAAATTAACTCAACAATGAGACTGTTTTTGTCATCTGTGAGGGAGTAAAGAAATAGATATTCTTATCTCTACTAATGGGGCCGAAAACTGATTTAAAATTTCTACAGGACAATTTGATAACATGATAGAATCGTAAAAATAATGCATACCTGCTGATCTAAAAATTTCACTTTATGCTATGAAATCTATATATATAAAAAGCCAGTGACCACAACGCCATAATGACCAGAACCAGTCACTATGATGCCCACTGCTGGCCCAATGGAGGGGTGGGGCCTGCAGGCCAACCTCCCACAGCCCCTCCCCCCAGCAAGCCCCACCCATGATCAGCCTCTTTCAGGTAACCAGAGCCAGCCGAGGCTTGTGCTGCCAGCAGTGGCAGCAGCAGAGGTATGATGGGGCATCACCTTCTCCTGATTGCCAGGTCACCTCCCACCCCTGAGGGCTCTCGGATTGTGAGAGTGGCAGGCCAGGGCTGAGGGACACCCCCAGTGCATGAATTTTCATGCCTTAGAATCTAGTCCTACATAATAAAAAGCTAATATGCAAATAGACCGAATGGTGAAACAATCAAACAACCGGTTGCTATGACATGCGCTGACCACCAGGAGGTTCATGGGGAACATAGTAGGCATTGGCAGCAGGTGGCAGAGCGCAGAATATGGTGGGCATCAGCCCTGATGGAATGGTGGAACAGGTGAGTGGGGGCGCTGGCTGCTGTTACTTGGGCAAGTCTCTGGTGGTTACTGAAAATTCTCTGTTCCTACGCGCCATGGTCCTGCCTGGCACTTGCACCTGCTGCCAGAGCCTGCCCTGCTCACATCTGCTGCTGGTGCCCGGCGCTGGCCCCAATCACTCAGCATTGTCAGCAAGTGCAACCGGCAGCTCTGAGGACTTCTCCACCTCCCCCTGCTCCTGAGGAGCAATAGTTAGCACGTGGGAGCAGTGGCAGCAGGAGCAAGGCTGCTGGCAGAGAGGGAACTGGGTACCACAGCAGGGCTGGGCAGGCACACGAGTATGGGCCAAGACTAACCCCTGTGCCCACTATAGCCTTGCGGCCCACAGTTCCTTTCAAGGTGCACAAATTCGTGCACTGGGTCCCTAGTTTATACTAATAAAAGGGTAATATAATTAGACCAGAAGACATTCTGGGAGATCTTCCAGACATTCTTCTGGACAAAGCCATGATGGTGGAGTCAAGGCAGAGGTGGTTAGGGGTAGTCAGGCCTTCAGGGGGGGAAGTTGGGGACAATCAGGCTGGCATGGGGGGCAGTTGGGGACAAGCAGGCCGACAGAGGGAAGAAGCTAGAGGTGAGCAGGTCGATGGGGAGGGCATTTGGGGGCAATTAGGCTGTCAGGGGGGCAGTTGGAGCAAGCAGGCTGGCGGGGGGGGGCAGTTGGGGGTGATCAGGTCAGCAAGGAGGATCAGTTGGGGCAAGAAGACTAGCAGGCAGAGTGGACAGGGGTGATCAGGCAGGCAGGTAAGAGGTTAGGAGTGAGTGGTCCTGGATTGTGAGTCAGACATCTCCTGAGGGATCCCAGATTTGAGAGGGTGCAGGCCCAGCTGAGGGAAATCAATCCCCCACCCCTCTGTATGAATTTTGTGCACCAGGCCACTAGTTAAAAAATAATTAGGGAAAAACTTGTTTGGACAGTTCCCCAATATGAATAAACTATGTATTCATTATAAATAAACTAGAATGCATTTTCCCATAAAAACTTTGTTAAAATATTTGGTTAGCTTTCTGGACCAGCCAATTTGTGTGATAATACAGCTGAAATGCTGTATGTCTGCAGGAAACAATACTTAGGAATATTGTAGGGACCCTGAAGGTATATTTTATGCACTATCTAAAGCTATGAAGTTTTACACAGATTCTTCGGTAGTTTTGATTTATTTAAAACTATCTTCAACACTGTTATTAATTTTATTTGCTGCAATAAAGGGAACTTTCTGATTTACAACTACAATCAAAGGGAAAAGAAGGTAAATGCATCAGAAAAACTGCCTGAGGTGAAATGAAGTCACCTCTGTTGAAAGATGAGAAAAGGTGGGGCTCAGCCTGGTTGGGGATGGCATCCAGACATCCCTTCTTTTCAGAGGTAAAGCCCACAATAAACGTGGGAGGCAGTACTCCATACATATTGTTGGGGTTGACCCAAATTACGGATTTATAATTGATTTGACTAACTTGCCCAAGGTACTATTGCTAATGGTTAGAGTAGAGGAGAAACAAAAGGACCCACGTGTTTATGACTACGAATCTCCTCGTCTATTATACTTCCTATCTCTTCCACAACATTTGTGCAGCAAGTCACAAAGAAGACATTTTCTCTTTATTACTAAAAGAGGCAAAAATAAAATATGTGGGGGGGAAAGAACCCCCAAATAGAGTTACATTGCTTCCACACTCATTTGAGGAGAACTGGGTGAATGGTGATCCTGAAGGGCAGAATAAATGAAGGACTGCTCACTGCTTTGTCCTAAGAATGTTGAGCATTCAACTACCTCCCCACCCAAATTCTCCTGTATAAGCTTCTTCTGCAAGGCTTATTTTCCAAGAAGGAAAACAATTCCAAGCAGTCATGTAGTCATTTCTTGAAATAATATCACCTTCAAAATTAAGGAGGAAAAACAGAAAGTCAGCCAGTTTTCCTTTCTACTGTAGCCTGGAACATTCACTAATGAATTCCTGAGTAAGGAGATAGCAAGTCCATTTTCTACTGTACATTTTCAGAGGCTAAATGCTTAAATTAGCAAAAATTATGAAACATCAACATCATGCAACAAAGTGGTTTTTAATGAGATAATAACAGAGTATAATCTAAAATGAAATACAGAAAAAGAAAACAATGTATAAGAATGTATAAGAACAAAGTACAAAGAGAATATGAACAATTAAAACATCAAATTTAATTTTAGGTACAATAATTTCTATATTTTATCCTTTAAGCATATTAAAGTTTTCTTTGTAAAACAAACTTATTTTATTAGAATATAAACTTCAATACAAACAAGAAATTCAAGAAAGCTAGATCATTAAGCAGACAGTATTCTGGGCACAGGAACAAACTACAATCAGTTTTTAATGATCCATCCCAGCTCAGCTTCCTTAGGCCTGCCTATTTGTTCCATTAGCCAACTGGTACATGCTTAAGGAATGTAAACAAATCATAACAGCAGCTTAAATAAATCCCAAACAGGAATGCAAATCCAGTGCAAAATAATCTAAAAAATCCAAAGTCTAACAAATTACTTTTGAGTTATCTGGGTCTGTGTTTCTTTTCATTCACACAAATCAACTGAGAGTTAACAAGTAGTATATTGGGATATAGAAAGGATAACAAGAAATTTAAGGCAACTGAATTGGCACACCAGAAATTGAAAGGCAAATGTAATAATGAACAAAAGAGAGACTTTTAAAGAAGTAAAATCAGAAAAGCTAAATATCAAGTAATTGTTCAAAACACAGAGACAGACACTTAGATGGATCTACATACTTTCTTGAGAATGAAAGAAAGTGTTATGAACTGAATGTATGTATCACCCACAATATTTATATGCTGGAATCCTAACACCACCTGGACACTGGGACCTGCTGCTCCAAACCAGCATGCTTGACCCAATGCCTCTGGATAACCGGCCCCACTGCCTTGACATAGTGTGCCCAGCCCTGCCATCATGATCCAACACTACCATACAGATGGACCTGACATTGTGGCCCACTGTGTCTTACCCAGTGCCCCTGGGCAAATGGCGCTGCTGCCTAATATTCCTTGGTAGACATAAACTGACGTGCGCCCCCCCTCTCCCCCGGAAGCACAGACCTGCCACAGAGACAGGACATGTCTAACTTGGTGCCACCAGAAGACTGGACACACCGCTCGCTGTCTGTGACCTGGTGGGACCAGTTACCTCTGAACACACAAGAACTACCACTGTGAATGCACCCTCCTCACCTGGCTCCCCAGACTAATAGACTGCTAACATGAGAAGAAAAAGAAACAACTGTCAATGGAAAAAAAAAAAGGAGGAATCACCAGGAAAAAAAAAAACTAAATGAAATGGAGGCAAGTAATTTGTCAGATAAAGAATTCAAAGTAATGGTTATAAGGATGCTCAAACGTCGGAGTGAGAATTACAAGTAATGAAAATTAAAAGAAGCTGAATAAAAAAAAAAAAAAAAAAAAAAAAAAAAAAAAAAAAAAAAACAACCACATGAATAAGAATCAATAGGAAATGAAGAATGACATAGCTTTAATAAAGACCACCCTAGAAGAATTCAAGAGTAGACCAGAGGAGGCTGTGGACCAAACCAGCAAGTCATAAGACAAGATAGAAAAATACAATCAGAGCAGCAATTGGAAAAAAAAAATTAAAAAGCAGGAGGAGAGTTTAAGGGAACTTTGGGAGAACATGAAATGAAACAACATCCATATAATAAAGGTGCCAGAAGGAGAAGAAGCTGAGCAAGTTCTAGAAAACCAGTTTGAATAATGACAGAAAATTTTCCTGACTTGGTGAAGAAAAAAGTCTTACAAGTCCAGGAAGCACAGAGTCTCAATCAAGGTAAACGAAAATAAGACCCACAGGAAGACACATCATAATTAAAATGACAAACGTTAAAGACAAAGAAAGAACCTTAAAGGCTGCAAGAAAGAGACAGAATGTTACCTACAAGGGAACTCCCATTAGACTATCAGCTGAGTTCTCAATAGAAACATA